TATTTTAATGGGGCTTCAAAAAATCTATTTGGCCCAATTGATAAAAGACCTAATTAAAAAATATTTATAAGTGTTAGTTGTTAGTCCAATTAAAAAAACAAAATATATGTATATGTGTTAGTTGTTAGCCTAATTTTGTATGACCTTTTTTTTTTCTCTTTATGGCCCAATTATGTGTTTTTTAGTATTTTTTGAAAAAATATTTCGCACAATTTTTATTTATTTATTTTGTAGATACATTTAATTTAGAAACACTTAAAAACTATAATATTTGTGTTTTTTTTTTTTAAAAAAAAAGTTACCAAATACAAAAAAATATAAAAAAATACAAATTGCAAACTGAAACAATTATTTTTAAAAACTCTAAACCAAATAGAGTGATTTTTTTTTTTAAATATCTAAAAAGGTCCCGAAAAATTATTTCGCCTTAGGCCTCCAAAAACTCAGGGCCGGCCCTGAATTATGTCACCCATAGGACTTATTGAAACATAAGAAAATAATATGAACTAAATGGAACATAAGTAGATGAAAAGGGTATTTTGGTCTTCTTATCTCAAATAGGACCTAATGGAATGGGAGCTTCTATATATACACACCTAATCCCCTCAATACACACACTTAATGATATTTAATTTTATTACAATTTTATCCCTAAGTGAAATTACTATTTTGGACACCATTGTTAATTGAAAACATCTCAATGCACACCTCAGAGTTCACATCTGTTGCATCGTGTGTGTAGCTTGTTCCACTGGTTTGGCATGCTTATTTGAAAATGGAAGGCGAACCAGTGAACCAGTGAACCATTAAGGATTGAGAACCAGTGAACCAGTGTCATTCATAGCTTCTTCCAAGTTCATTGAGCTAGAAGTGAAACCAAAGGGCTTTGGCATTTCCGTAGGAAAAACATCATTGTTATGGAGGATTTGCCTTCTGAAAATCAGCAAATAAGTGTTCATGTGAAGCAGAGCGAAGGAAATGTGAGTTTAATTTTTTTTTTCCCAAGCGTCGTTCGGATAACCAAAGCCGAATTGTGTTATTTGATTCGGAAATCTACTACCGAAATAATCATGTATTTTCGGAAGTTAATGTCCGAACAAAGTAATAAATTTCGAAAGTTGTTGTCCGAACAATGTATTTAAATTCGGAAGTTGTTGTCCGAACAATGTATTTAAATTCGGAAGTTGTTGTCCGAACAATGTATTTAAATTCGGAAGTTGTTGTCCGAACAATGTATTTAAATTCGGAAGTTGTTGTCCGAACAATGTATTTAAATTCGGAAGTTGTTGTCCGAACAATGTATTTAAATTCGGAAGTTGTTGTCCGAACAATGTATTTAAATTCGGAAGTTGTTGTCCGAACAATGTATTTAAATTCGGAAGTTGTTGTCCGAACAATGTATTTAAATTCGGAAGTTGTTGTCCGAACAATGTATTTAAATTCGGAAGTTGTTGTCCGAACAATGTATTTAAATTCGGAAGTTGTTGTCCGAACAATGTATTTAAAAGGATGTATCTTGCTTGTGAGAGGAGTGGCCAATATAGAGCAACAAAGAAGTTAAAACATGATGGCAACAATACATCAAGAATAACCGGTACGAAGAAGTGTGGTTGTCCTTTTGATATGAGGGCTCACAGGTTTACCACATATGATGAATGGACATTGACTGTAGTATGCGGATTGCATAATCATCCACCTGCGGAGCACCTCGAGGGACATTCATATGCGGGGAGGCTATCAAAGGATGAGAAAGCATTGTTAATGGATATGTCAAAGAGCATGGTTCGGCCAAAAGAAATCCTAGTAACCTTGAAACAGCGAGATGCCCTCAATGTAAGCACACTTAAAACCATTTACAATGTACGCCATCGAAACAGGGTGGTACAGAAAGCTGGAAGATCAGAGATACAATGTACGCCATCAACAACCATTGTTACCATTCCATTCTAATAATAAAATGTCATTACAATGTCATTACAATACCATTGTTTCCATTCCATTCTAATAAGAAAATATTAACCACTGTTACCATTACAACAATGTCATCTTACAAAAAACACCAAAAAACATGTGTATGCCTATGCCTAGGCCTACAACTGTATATCACGAATCAACTATATGCCTACGCCTAGGCCTACGACTGTATGTCAATGTCGAAGATGGAAAGTGACCTCCAGCAGAACTAGGTCCAACTTCATCAATGTGCTGACCTTCAAGAACATGTGTCATACTCTCGATACCAAAAAACATGTGCAGCACCCCAGGCATAAGTATGTATGGATCCCAAATCCATCAACAAGCCGAGGTAAACAACGGGAACCCTGCCGCCACTCTTGTCACTGAAGAGTGTACATCCCAACAGAAACAACAAATAAGCTCTTGCAACGCACTGTATAGCCTCCTTGGGGTCTGAATCTGTGACACCAGCAAACTGACTTCGCAACCATTCAAGCCTGACTGAATTGCCACCAGCAGAAGAAACCTCTTCATATGCTGCACGTTCAGTAATCCCCAAGCCATAAATGAGTAATGTAACTCCATGATGATCTGTCACATCTGGTATGCTGACTGATTTGCCTACAATGGGAGGCCAAGAATAGTGCCAACATCATCCAGGGTCAAGGTCATCTCACCAACTGTCATGTGAAATGTGTTCGTCTCAGGTCGCCATCTCTCAACAAAACTGGAGATTAGAAGCTTGTTGACGAACCGATAAGTACAACGAGCTAACTGTGACAGTCCAGACTGCTCAATAATGGCTTTGAATCTGGTGTTGTTCTCTATTGACCACCATGGCCATGCAAGGATCTTCGAAGAGTAATTATAACACTTTAGGGGCCCTCGTTCCTATAACACAAATAATATCTCATTAGAAACTACTATACAACACACACAGGAAAAAAAAATTCATATACAAATGAATTTCACTTCTACTCAGGAATGTTTACCTCCCCGTGCCAAATAGCTGCAGCCACATGACTATTGAAACTCCGCAGTATTGACGGATCATTCGGTCCACCTGGAAAAGCATGAGTAAGGTACTCTTCCTGGACACATTGTTGATATTCAGAATCCATATTATCTGCAAAAAATACTAAGTGTGTGTAATGAGTGTGTGTGTAAATAATAAGTGTTTTAAATTATAATGAGAGAGTGTGTGTAAAATTAATGAGAGTGTGTGTAATGAGTGTGTGTGTAAATAATAAGTATTTTAAATTATAATAAGTGTTATAATTATAATAAGTGTTATAATTAAGTGTTTTAATTAAGAAGGAAAAAAAAAACTGTTCGGAAGTTCACAGCCGAAAATACCTATTCTGTTCGGAAGTTGTTGTCCGAAATTAAAGCTACTATTCGGAAGTTGAAAACTGAAAAAAAAAATTATTTTCGGCACTTGAAAGCCGAACCAAGTAAATATTTTCGGAACTATAGTGCCGAATAGAAGCAGAAAATTCGGAACTCTAATGCCGAATATTATTTTTGTTTTCGAAACTAGATTGCCGAACAAAAACAAAAAATTCGAATAACCAGTTCCGAATGAGGAAACACGGCAATCACTTACAATGGTGGACGGAAAATTGTAAAAATTAACCCTACATTACAAATAAAATAGGAATGAGAAGATTCTAATCTGTGTAAACTAACCTAAAATGTGAAGATTTCAATGCTTTTCAATGCCCTTCAATGCCAATACTTCAATGACACAGATGGATGGATGAAGCTTTTGGGGAGGAACGGTGGAGAGTGTGAGAGATGGGTGTGTGTGTGAGAGGGGTTCTCAGATGGGTATGTGTGTGAGAGGGGTGACAGACGGGTGTGTGTGTGAGAGGGGGTGTGTGTGTGTATGATTTACATTTGGGGGTATACGTGAAATGATAGGTGTGTGTAGTGAGTCAAATATATTAGGATTTATATTTTTAGTGTGTGTATTGAGAAGGATTTGTATAGAGAGGAAAGGGTGTGTGTATATAGAAGCTCCCTAATGGAATAGTCAAAAAGAATATGGGTTGGATGGAATAAAACTCTTAGAAAGTGAATTTATCAAAAAAAGCTTCCAAATTAAGTTGTCACAGTAATTTTAAAAAAATAAAAAACATTTTTAAATAAAAAAATTAAAAAAATTTAATCAAATATACAATCAAAAGTAATTTTAAAGCACTAGCTAAATATTTTTTTTTAACAAAAAATAATATATATTTTTAATATTTTAAAGTAAAAAATATTTTTAGAATTTTTTGAATCTTTTAAATAAAACTTTTATTTTTTGCAATAATTATTTTTTTGAATTGAATTTTAAAAAGAGTTTGGTTGTGAGTTTTAAATAAAATTTTCAATAGAGTTTTGAGTTGTGTGTTTAGTTATAAGTTATAAATTTTTTAATTAAGTTTTGAAAACTCACAACCAAACAACTTTTCTTATTTAAAACTCTTTTTAAAAATTCAAAACTCATAATCAAATAAATTTTCTCTTTTCAAATCATGATTCAACAACCCAATTGTGAAGACCACCATAGTGGCATCTCTTTTATATTATATAAATTATTTATTTTGATACTATTAATAATTTTATAAAATATATATATATATATATGTATAAATAGAATCTAATTTTGACAAATTAATAAACTTAGCTACATCAAAAAAGGCGGGAGGGGGGATCTGAAATTTATATAAAATTCAAGTAATTCAAGTTTAGCATGAGTCGGGCTTGGTTATACAACCTCGGTTACAATTCAGACCTGGATAACTCTCAACATAACTTGTGTTGAACTTCAACAACCTATCGATCTGTCCGAACCCGCGAACCCGCCTGAGTTGCACCCCTAGTTTTCCATACAGGACACAGCAACAATCCTTTGCTAATCCATTTTGTTTCTGCCCTGGGCCTTGAGGAATCCATTTTAGCATTTCCAATTTAGTTCACCTTTCTTTTTGTTTCAGATTTCGAACGAAAATGACAGACTAACAAAAGCAATTCAGCTCGTTTGTGCAAAACAAAAATAGAAAGTGAAAACTGAACACCAAACCATTTATTTGTCCAATAGTAGTATATTACACAAACAGATTTTATTGTCAATGGAAAATTGGCAAAACCCACGACACGTGAGTTCAATATACCCATTTCCATCAAACAAAATTTACAAAGTAACAAAAAATTCTGAATCTAACACAATCAACAGATCTCATTCGCTTACAGGAATGCATCAAGTGACAATAGCAAGCAGTAGTGGCTTATTCTTTAAAATGTTTCCTAATTGCAGGTACGAGCTCAGACTGGTTTCACCGGTCATATCAGGAAATCAGGGAGAAAAATTCCTCCAATTGGGTCTCACTCACCATAACACCAAGTTTCTGACTATGCACTGCATCGATCAAATCAACTCCTATATCTTTCGCCAAGCCTGCTGTAGAGATTTCTATGTACTCATTCACGTTGTGAACAGTTCCATCTACACAAGTAAAAACAGAGGAATTAGCAGGAAGAGGGGAAAAAAGACATAATCAATGATCAAAAGCATGACTTTCCAAGTATATATATGTTTAGACACATTACTTTTGAAAAATTATACGTGAAATACAATTCAAAATTTCAAACTACAATCTCTTTCACAAAGTAATCATGTATCAGTATTCACAGAAATTCAATTGGAAAGTGAGTTCAATATTAATGGGCATAAATTTGAAATCTAACTGATTCATTCATTTACCTTCAGCAACTATTGCTTCATATGCAGGTGGTTGGGCAATCCAGTTTCCTACAGAATCTTTCATGTGTCTTCTATCAGATGCAAAGGAACGAAGGAATATTGGAGCATGTACAACCCGGAAAAACCTGAGATCACAGAGAAGTTTTTCCCATGAACTTGTATATTTTCGCAGTTGGGTTTTAAAGATATCTAGCAACGCACAAAGTGATGAATCAATTTTCATCAAGCGATAAAGAAAAATACAGGAAAAGAACAACAGAAAGCTTCCTTGAATAATCAACCACGACAAGGCATATCAATGGAAGGATAATATGAAAGTCAGAAAAATTGTATGGCAACCTAAGAAATCTTGTAACATCTATCTCAATCAATAATATATATATTTTTACACAATGAAAGGATAATGGCAACCTAAGAAAGACTAGATATTACCTCTGAAACTCAGAAAATAGCTGAAAAGATGGCCGTATAGTTTCCGAGACATAGGAGGCCAGAGGAGATGGGAATGGAAGACTTGAATCTAAATCCCACACTAGAGGAGAAGAGTCACCTTTTTTTCTCTGTTACAGTCATTGCAATATCAGAATTTTGTAAACAAAATTGTTGTTTCTAATAACCATTAATGCAAAAAATAAGTATACTGGTTCACAAGACTCTTCCAACCAACACAACAGTCACCTGAATGCAGATGACGTGATAATCCCACAGAACAACTCCATCAGCTCTCTGGCTGGCCTTCTGATGCCACAGTGGAACCTGCAAGGTGGTCATCAGTTCAGCACACCCTTGTCTACAAAAAATTTAATCTACCCAATAGTGCATTTATGACTGAATGCCTTTTCTTTTGTTTACTAAAGCAAAACCACGTGAAATTGTCAAAATTCAATTAAAGCTAAAGTGGAGTCCTGATGGCTCTTTACATATAACGTGGGGGGCTTAGACAGTCTTTCTTGAGTATGATATTATTACCTTCTTACTGGTTCCAAATAGAAAATGAAAAAATAAAATTGGAATTCAATCCGGATGTCTTCAGAAGACAACAATGTGAGATAGGAACTGGTTTTAAGCGAAGAATTGCCCCAGTTACAAAAATCTAGTACAAAAAGAAGTTTATGACAAGTTCCACCAAATGGAAACAGGAAAAAAGTGTTGACACTCAAAATGGGTGATTACGAAAAGTAAATCAAGCAATTTGTTACATTTATTTATGCATCAACAAGTGATGATACCACATCAATTGCACATGTTTAACAACATATGATGCTGCATTTATTGAATGGATACTTAAGTATAATAGGATTTGGAAGCCTTAAGCGAAGGGTATGGGTCCCATAATCATCATCAAGGGCCTTTCATGGTGGTGGTTGGAGGAAAAAGCCTGAGCTGAAGATCTTTGTTCAGGAAGTGGAGACACCAAAATGGCCTCCAAAACTGTTGAGTGTTGGTCATCATGGCTGTAAGGGTGGTTGGGAGGGGGAGATGCTTTCCGTCTATGACAACAGTGCAATGGAGTTTTGGGGATGGTGTTTTAATGAAGCCAAGGCAGTCGAGGATTGGGTTTATCAGTTAGAAGTTTTATGTCTTATTTTTGCACCACCAAATAGAGCTTTGACAATTATAAATTCAGTTCAGGAGAATGATGATAAATATATCACAGAACCTCCAGAATCTAGTGGAACACAACAAATGAGATAAGAAAAATGGGAGGTTACACACCTGCTTCTTCTCATTGGAGATGAAAACAACAAATAGATCAGATCCCTCTGCATCAGCTACCCCACTTGTGCAGAGCTTTTTGCAAAGCAAGTATACATTCTCCTCACTACAAAAAATAATATAAAAACAACCCAAAAAATCTTGATTAAGGAAATACAAAAAAGAAACAGCTGACGGGCAATGCATGTTAACCAATCAAATATAGACAAAGAAACTTCAGGATTATTTGCTTGATAGAGATCTAGCCTACCTTCTTGCATGGAATATTATTTTATTTTATTTTTCAAAAATTATTCATTAAACTTAATAAAAGAAAATAAATAAATATATTAAACAAAACTATTTTATTATCTTATAATGAAGCATATCTGGTAGCAGTATAAAGAATGACTCCTTGTCTTTGATGTAGTGACTTATAACTCTCTCAGACACATCCATAACTTCTTCCAAGTTAGGTGCAGGGGGATTTTACCAAATGATAAGAATGTTTTTCCAAGGTTATTTATGTTAAGATTATATATAGAACCATTGGAAACTTTATGTATTTCGAGACACTGCCAGTCCGCATGCCCCCTCATTCTTATGAGATGTAAAACATAGTTACAGAATTTCTCGACAGCCAAGGTTAAATATTATTGGATTCTGCAGGACTTTGTTTAATGTATCATATTATCCAGAACTTCAACTCAAGAATTACATAGAACTAAAACTCTAAAACGGTTAAAATCAGACACAAAGCATTTTATTGCTTACGTACCACAATATCAGTGCATGCATACATATTAGTCCCTTATATTGAGTACACCGCTCCCTATGACAGCTCAAAAAACAGGTTGGGGCATAATGTCAAATGTTATAAAAGAATTAAGTGAAGCATTCTCTAACAAGTGGTATCAAATTCAGGTTATCATGGGATTCGAATCCCGAGAGAGGGAGGGAATGTAGTGTATACAATGTCGCTCACTACAACTGCTCTAAAAACAGGCGTGCTGACGTGATATCAAATACCAAATAAGATATTATTGAAATCTTCCCTAACACCATTTAGTTTTAGGTAAACTCTTCCCTAACACCAATTGGGTTTAGGCAAGATGATGAAACTCAGTCGGACAAGACCCCAATTCACAGATTAACAAGCATTTGTTTATGAATAATTTTACACGTACTAAAAATCTTACTAAAAATACAAATAGTCAAATGTGATTGATTGTTAAAAAAATAATAATATTTAAACCTCAAATGATGTTTGGACCTGGATGCTTTTAGTAAGATTGTTAGTAAGATTTTAAGTGTCGTAGCATTGCTCATTGTTTATTAATGGAAAAAAATGTATTAAAAAAAATACAATTGATGTGAACCCATATTATATGTGAGAATTACTACTTATTAGGCAGCATCAACATAGATAAATTTTGGGCAGAACACAACTTACATATAACTAATTCCAAACAAAAGCAGTAATTGTAAATAAGCTTAATAACAAGTTGAAAGAAAATAAAAAAAATAAAAACGATCACTGAAAGAGGCATTTGAGCAAAAAGGGTATGTGCAAATCGCATTTAACTTAACCCTAGTATATATATATACTGCTCAAAACTAAATTCCCGTAACATGTGTGCATATTTCCCAGTTGTAGGGAGAGAATCTTTAGAGAGAGAGAGAGAGTACCAGTAGAAAGGTGTATGATGAAACTGGGACGAGTTCAATGGAGCAATAGTGATTTCTGATTGAAAATCCAAATTCGAAGTCGTCATCTGTATATATATATATATGTTTGTTTGTCGTATATGATTTGTTGTTCAGAAAATACACAACACACACATTAAATTCTCCGAAGAACTGTATTTTTGCAGGGTTTGAGTTGGGGATCACATAAAGGACACGGCAATGGTGGGTGTGAAGGATCTTTCTTTATGCGATGTCATTCTCGCAATTATCAAAAAAATGGAAATTTTTACATACTTGGGCTCGTGGAAAATTTGGGCTCCTGTTGGTCCATCTCAATTATGTGTATTGTTAAATTTTTAGTTTTTTTTTTTTTTAATAAATTTTTCATGTAAAACTTAAGTTGGGCAGATCATGTCTTCACTTGTTAAGATCACGTTTATTTTTTTTTAAATATAAGATTTAATTTTTAAATTATATTTATTATTAATTTTTTTAACATAAATATGATCAAACTTGTATATACTAATATTCAATTAATTTAATTTTTTACATAAATAATTTATTATGAGTAATGAAAATTGTATGATTTAGATTACTGAGATCAACTAGCTCAAAAAATAAATAAATAAATAGCTAGAAGGAATCGCTTTGGGTTGAAGCACTAAAAGGGACTCAAATTATGGTAGATTGGATAATCTAGTTAGAGATGGGAAGGATATTTTTATATTATGTTTTGGTGTAGCATATTAATGTAAAAATTGAAAATTAAAAATTAAAAACGCATCTCTCCCAACTTTTAAATAATCAATTTATTTAAAATCTCTTTTATAGTATTTTTGAGAATTAAAAATTAATAATCAAAAAGTCAAAAATACTCTTTTTAACTTTGCTCTCACATAAACTTAAAAAATAATAATAAGGGAAACTATATGCAGGTAAAAATTAAAAAGAAAAAATTACAAATACATAAGATACAGTACAAATTTCACTTACACCCTTACATATATTAGTAATTTTTTTCTCATACTCCAACCTTAGTTTCCCCTAATAATAAAATACTATGAGCAACCTTTTCCATTTAGACATTCCAATAGTTCTTCTTTCCAAAATGAATGTAGCTGTGGGGGATCATGTTTCCAAACTTGAATGTGGTTGTGACTGATGTATACAGTTCATAGGTTGGTCTACTTTTCAGAAAGAAAATGAAGGCCCATTTTGCTCACATCAGGCCCATTGTGGGCCCCTTTTGCTTTATCTTTCTTTATCCTTTTTTTTTTTCTTTTCTTTTTTTTTTTTTTTTTTTTTTTTTGGGTAAAAACTTTATCTTTTCCCTATGAAAAGCCTGCATTTCAATTATTTCAATTTTATTTGCTTATGTTTTTTTGGGTCTCCATGAAAAAGCATGTAATGAAGAAAGCTTTTTTTTTTATTTTCAAAAAAAAGAAAAGAAAAGAAGAAAGCTTTTCTTTATCATCTCTGGGTCTATTACTCCTCTCTGAAGAAAGCCATCCAACTACATTTACTTATGCTGCTGTTCACTGCTGATTTACTTGCATTTTACGTAGTTTTATTGACCCATTAAATTCTACATTTTAATCTTTTTTGCAAACATTGTTTGATGTTATTGTGTTTGGTGGAGAGTATTAGGGTTTGAATTGGTACACACTATAGATGTTAATGGAGGGCAAGTTGACGTTTTTCTTTTTCTTTGTTTTTTATTTATTTATTTTTAGATATGTAATTTTTGGAGGGTTGATTTTGAGATAGTGATAACATTGTTCTTTTTTAATGTAGTCGTTATGAGTTCGAAATATAAAAATAGTTTCTTTATTGATACATCTTATCCTTCGTACATCTTATATGAATGAGAGTCTCGTGTATTACACTATTGGCTATAATTTTTTTAATGAATACTCTAAAAATATTGGTTAATAAAGCATTAAAAGATGTAATTTATTTCTCATTAAGTGATGGATCTAGAGAAGGGAAAAAAGGGGCGATCATCCTCCCACAATTTTAAAAACCTTTTTTTATATGAATATTAGTTATGATTATTTTAAATTATGCAGATTCACTCCATCTTGGTTTTAAAAATGTTTAATCGGTGACCCGTGCATACCTCTATATCTATGAAATATGTGGTTCTAAGTATAAAATTTAATAATTTGGCCAAAATATAATTAAAATAATTGGTTTCTCATAATTAGTATTGATAGATTATCTTACAATTTTTGTCTATCCTAACTCAACATAAATATAAGAAAACCTATTTATTTATAAATCTTTTCATATTATTTTTTTGCCTATTATATCAATAGGAAATGATGTTATAGTCTATACTTTCTTTTTAAAAATTTTGTTAATATATATATATATATATATTCGTTCCTATATTAAAATCTTGGGTCCCTATTCTCATTTATCAATTTTTATAAATATATGTACAATCATTTTAAATATGCTAATAAATGTTTTAAAAACACCTATCTATATCTATCTATATATATTATATAAGAAAAAATAAGATTTCTAATTTACAAATTTTGTGGGAGCTCCAATATCCTAATCCTATTTTTTTTTTAATTTTTTTATTTAAAAAAAAAATCCTCAGCATTTATTGATTTCCCAACCCACAAACCTTTTTGATTTATCTCATAATTACTGCAACACTCTTTTCAATTTCTCTCATACGCTATGGTTACACGCAAAAATAAAGAACATAAGAATTTATCTATGAATCTCAAAAAGATAGAACATCATCCAAATTTGAATTGTGATTTAATAATATAATTATCTATTTTTTTATGTAAATTTATCAAAATTTTAAATGACAAATTAATCAATTTTCTAAAATTATTAATTTTTTAATTTATAAAATAGATTAAAAAAACTATTCACTGACTTATTTATTTAATAACAAAAATACTCTCCATCCTGATCTCTTTCGCCGATTTCAAAAAAAAATATATTAAAACTTACCTTCCTTCTCTCTTTCAAAAAAAAAAAAATCAGATAGTATTTTTCATAAAAGTTGTAGATATCTATCTATATCTTATGTATTATATTATAACATAAAAAATAAAAATAAAAATCTAAAAATCAGATATACAAACAGATAAAATTAATAAATTAGATTTTTATTTATTCAATTAAAATCTTTCTCTTACATCTCAATATCTAATTTAAAATTTTAAAAATCTTACAAGTTTATCTAAACAAATCTAATTTGAAAATATCTCCCACTATTATACTTTAAATCAATAAAACTCACATGTCTATCACATATCTAACTCACATCATAACTTACCTAAATAATAATAATTAAAAACAAATAGAAACCACGGATAAATTAAATTTAAAAATAAAAAATAAAAACCCATAACTCCATCTTAAATAAATTGAAAGAAAAAAAAAACGAATAGAAACTACACAAAAATAAAACGGATAAGAATTTAGATATGGATCTAAAATTAATATAACAATATCTAAATTTGAATTATAATTTAGTAATATAATTATTTATTTTTCTAATGTATATATGTCAAAATTTTAAATCACTTAATGAGACAAATAAATCAATGTTCAAGTCTTATTTAAAGAATAATCTGATTAGTCATCCCAACTCATAAGCTTCACGGGCACTGGCAGAGGAGCTAACGAATTAGGTTAGGTGAGGTCTAAGTTGTTGGATTTATTTTTATTTTTTTAAAAAAATCCCGCTTAATGTGTGATTCTCTTTCTCTACTGTCGGTTTAGTTTTGGTTTTGGTTTTGGTTTTGATTTGTTGGATTTATTCATTCTCCCGCTCTATAAATTGATTTATTTTTTAATTTTATTTATTTTTTGTGTGATTCTTTTTCTCTACTATTGATTTGATTTTGGTTTCGGTTTCGATTTTAGTGAGGTTTATATGTTTGTTTACAAGTTTGCATGGTAGAGAAGAATTATTTGTGATTATGGTTGCAATCGAAGTATCTATATTCGTTCCATGTCAAGTATTTTGATTGGATTTTGTTTTCTTCAGTGAAGACCATAAAATTGAAGTAAAAAAAATGGATATCAAATTTTTTATTTTTTATTTGTCATTTTATTTTATAAAAAATATGAAAATTTATTGACAATTCAAGATTTTACTATAACATTAGATTTTTGTATAATTAGGTAAATTTAAAATTTTTAAATATCATTGTATTCTTTATTTTTATCATTTTTTTATCCCATTAGACCATTACTGCTATTTGTTAGTTTGTTAATTATAATTCAATTAATTGAAAATAAAAGCTTAATATAATTTTTCATATATATTATACTTAATTTATTACAACTATAGTTGTATATAATAGCATAATATGTAGGAATAATTTCTTAATATGATTTCTATTTTTTTATGTGATTAAAATAGTTTATCTTAATAGTATATAAAAGAGTTAGATGGTTTCTTTTATATCTAAAAAATCCAATCTATTTTTTTTATTTTTTTATTTTTTAAATTGAAACATCAATTTTTTATGACCATAAAACAAAATTGACAAACACATATTAAAAAGCTACACATTTTTTTTCTTTTTCATTTTTTAATATGTAGGATATTTGCAAATGGAAAATATTTGACATCCCAAATTTTTTTCATAATCCAACTTATAATGATATAGTCATAAGGGTCAATTTTTATACAAACATGAGAAGATAATTAATTAAATTATACATTTTAACCAACCACATACTCAAACTTTGACTATTTCAAGATGTTATTTCACTATAATTCCAATTAAGAAAATTTTCAACCCTTAATATATTTTTTTTATCAAATTATAATTTGATAAAATTTGTAAAAGATGAAACATTGAAAATTATTGTTTTTTCCATCAAAATTGGTGAAAAGAAAAAAAATTGAGATAAGAATGAAAGTTCTTTTAAAAATTGATAAAAATTTAAAGAAAAAGTTAAAGTAATTCATATCAAATCAAAATTTTTATTCAAATTTAAAATCAAATTAGATAAAAAAAAAATTTAAAAAAAATGATGAAAGTTTGAAAATATTTTGAAACCTTCTTATTCATAAAGACTAGAAATCCGTATATGTATT